GCCCATATTCCTGAAGTCAGCAACCTTAGAGATCAGCTTTGCCAGTTTACCTTGGAGGATAATGAGGGTGAGGTGGAAGGAAAGTTATCATCTTTCTCTTCAGTTAAAGCATATTATAAAGTGCTGCTCCATACTGAGCCCACTGGAAAATACCCAGTAAGTAGTAAAAGCCAAGATTACAACTCTGTCCTGAACTGAGTAAATAATCATCTCTGAAAGAATGTTCTCTGCCTACTCTTGATTTCAAAGAACAGCTATTCCATAGTGTTTAGCTGTGGTGTGGGCCACTAAGAGAAGCCATAACCAAACCCTGAGAGTTTTAGGGACCTCTAGCTTCTATGTGGTGTGGCTTCTGTCATCATGTAGGACAGAGAGAGGCTTTTATTTCTGGAGTCATTCCCATAGCCCTAGACAAGATTAGACTGGGGGTAAGAGGCAGTACAATGAGGTTTTGCAGAACAGTAGGACCTGATGGTGGAACAGGTTACTGTCAAAGATATCTTAAGTAACAGAATCCTAGACTATTAGAATGGGAAGAAGTGGGGGATGGGGAAAAAGTCACAGGATCACAGGTTTAGAGCTGGAAAGAATATACTACCAGGTATAACATCAAATATATAAATTATTTAGGTGTTACCATTATTATTATATTGATACTATATTATGATGTTGATACCATTATATACTTAACAACATTAAGTACTGACTATCTGTCTAGAGGTAACATGGCATAGTGGATAGAAAATTGGACTCAGTGTCAGGAAGACTGTGGGTTCAAGTCCTACCACTGACACATGTTGGCTGTGTGACCCTGGGCAAATTACTTAACCTCTCAGAGCTCCAAGATGCCAATCTTCATTGGTAGAGGTAACTTACTCATCCAACGGTTTCCTATATTAATGAAATCACAGATCTAGTTCCTATCCCTATCCTTACCCCTGCTACTTACACCCATGCGATCTTCTGAGTCTGTTTTCTTATTTAAGAGGCCAAAATGATCTCTAAGGTTCCTCCCTGCTCTAAATCCTATGACCCTATAAAATGCTTGTAACAGTTAAGTGCTATATTCAAAAACAAAGTGCCTACTACCATCTGCAAAGTACTTTGTTAAGCACTGGAGACAGAAAAACAAAAATGGAACACTCCCTCAAGGAGTTTACATGCTATTTACATGTATGCTATTGTTACTATCACTCTAACACCCCTCCCAACATAGCTTTGTACAACAAATAATCAATAGATTCCTAGAAAAGCCTTCCTTTGAATGTTTAGCTCATTTAGTTAGCCTCTCCTGTCCTTCACTACTAAACTTCTTAAAAAAGTTGTCTAAACTTGATGACTCCACTTTTTCATCAGCCCCTTACAGCTTCCACTCCCATCACTCTATTAAAATTGCTCTCTTAAAGGTCACCATTGACCTCTGAAAGGTCAAATTATACGGCCTTTTCTCAATGCTCATCCTTCTTGACCTCTGTAGCACAACATCATTGATCACCTCCTATTTGGCTTCAGAGACAACAAGCCGTCTTCTGGTTCTCTTCCTACCTCTCTGTTCCTTCTCTTTTTCTTTTCTTATCCTCTTCCTAACTCCTTCATGGGAGTGCTCCCCAAAGGTCTTTGTTCTTGCTTCCTTTCTTTGCCTTCGTCTACTGTTCTGCTTTGGCAATATATTTACCCCGACAGATTCAACTAACTCTACTAATCTACACCAGTACAGCAGTCTTCCTGCTCCAGACTCATTATCTCCAATAGCCTACAGGGCATCCTCACCTGGATAATCTAACGGCAAGTCAATAACAACCAAACCAATAATAACAGCTAGTGTTTATATAGTGCTTTAAGGTTTGCAAAGTCCTTTACAGATTATTTCATATAACTGTCAATTTCAACATGGTCAAAACTGAACTTATTTTCCCCACTAAAACTTCTTCTGACTTCACTATTTCTGTCAATGACACCTCTTTCACCCAGTCACTCATGTTTGCCACCTGAGTTTTTTTTCCCCTTATCCACTCCCTTACCAAATCCTATCAATTCTTCTCTCTCAATGGAACATCTGTCCCTTCCTATCTAGTACCATCACCATCATCACCCTAGTACCAGCCATCATTACCATCTATCTGCCTAAGCTATTAATTCTTTAAAGGTCTTCTCTTTACTCTCTTCCCCAGAGACTGTTTGTTGTCTCTGAAGCCAAGCAATTTATTTTGCAAGTGCTTCCAGAATTCTTTGCCATGTATGAATCTGGTCACATCATACAGGGAGCAAAGGAGCAGAAAGAGTACTCACTGACTCTGGAGCCAACGGACCTGGGCTCAAAATTTGCCACAGACCTTCAGCAAGTCACCTAACTTTGCAATGCATCAACTTGCTCATTTATAAAACAAAAGGACTGGGCTAGATGGTCACTTTGGTCCCTTTCAGCATGAGACCACAGGGATAAAATACAAATTCCTCTACAATCTGGCCTTACCCTATCTTTCCAGCCTCATTGTACATTACCTTCTCCTCCCTCACTGTACCATCCAGCCAAACTGATCTTCTCTGTTCACATACAGCACTCCATTGGCACAGGCTGTCCCCCCACACCTGGAATACACTCCCTCCACCCCTCTGTGGCATGAAATTGCTTCCTTTCTTCAAAACACAGCTGAAGAACTACCTTCTACATGAAGCTTCTTCAGGTATCTCCAACTGAGTGCCCTCCCTTGTATTTATCCTCTAGATATTTACATGTGTACTGATAGTTTTGCTATCAATAGTAAAGTCTTTTTGATTAAGGATAGTTTTATTCTTGGTACTTGTATCCCCAGTACCTAGCCCATAGCAAGTACTTCGGGTTATTAATTAATGTCAACAAGCATTTATTAAGCACTGTGCTAAGCTCTAGGGATACAAAGTACCTGGCCTCAAGGAGCTCCCATTCTAATGGGGCAGACAAGCAAACAAGTAGTCTCAGAGGGAAAGCACCAGCAGTGGGTGGCACCAGAAAAGGACTCTTGCAGAAAGTAGGATTTGAATTGAATCTTGAAGAAAAGCAGAGAAGCTAGGGGGCAGAAGCAAAGAGGGAGAGTATTTCAGGCATGGAATCAGAGATGGAGTGTCAGGCATGTTCAGAAAACAAGGCCAATGTCTTTGGGTCACAGGGCACATAGAAGGAAGACTGGAAGGTAGTAGGGGCCAGGTTGGGAAGGGCTTTAAAAGGTAAGAGAGCATTCATATTTGATCCTGGAAGTAACAGGGAGGTTATTGAATGAGGTGGGGATGGGGGAGGAGCCTGGGGTGAGACAGTCAGAAACATGAGTAAGCTCATTTTGCCAGCTCAGTGGAAGCAGGGTGAGACTTGCAGCACGGAGACCAACCAGAAGATTACTGCAATAGTCCTAACTAGAAGTGATAAGGGCTTTGAGGTGAGAGAAGCAGATGTAAATGACAGCAGAAATAGCAGCAGACTGGATATGCAGAATGAGTGAGAGATAGGTGAGGAGCTTGTGAACCTGGATAATGGAGAACTTGACAGTAATAGGGAAGTTTGAAAGACAGAAGAGTTTGGGGGAAAGATGAGTTCAGTTTTGGACATACTGAATTTAAGTTATCTATGGGACATCCAGTTCAAGATGTCTAATAGGCAGATGGTAATACGAGACTGGAGCTCAGGAGTGACATTGGGGCTGAATAAATATATGTGAGAATCACTTTCATAGCGATAATAATTGAACCCATGGGAGGTGATGAGATCCCCATGGGAGACAGAACGTCAAGAATACTCAGGACAGACTGGGGGCACTCACATTTATATGACATGGATGAGGAACCAGAAAATGACATTGAGTGATGTCAGGTAGGAGAAGGAGGAGAGAGCAGTGCCCAGAAAAACCCTGAAGGGAAAAAGTTCCAAGGGGGTCAAAACTTGCAGACTGTCAATAAGGATGAGGATTGAAAGGAAGCCATTAGATTTGGCATTTAAAAGATCATCAGTAACTTTGGAGAGAACAGTTTCAATTAGTGATAGGAGTCAGAAATCAGTTGACAGATGATTTAGTGTCATGACAGGAGAGGAAATGGAGGCATTGGTTGGAGACAGATCTACAGTCCTCTGATCAAAATCCATCAGTGGCACCCACTTACCTGACAAATGTTCAGAATGCTTTGTCTGGCATTCTAGGCCCTCTAATCTAGTACCTTTCTATGCTTATCTCATGTTAATCCACCTGATGCACCCCAAACTCCTGCCAAACTGGATACTTCTGTCTTCTTCACCATGCCCTGTACTTGCCCACAAGTCCCTTTGCCCAACTGGTCTCCATATTTTTAAAAAGCCAGCATGGAATCATGAAAACCTTGGATTTAGATTCAGAAACCTGTGTTCAAATCTTAGTTGTAACCTTTGGCAAATCATTTAACTCCTACAAACCTGTTGCTTTCTTTGTAAAATGTTACGGTTGGATTACATCATATCTAAGCACCTCTCTAGCTCTAAATCCTGTGGATGCACTCCCTCACCTTCTTCAAGTGTTGAAGATCTACCTATTATATAAAACCCACTCCAATGCCTCCCTTACCAGGAAGCCTTCCTTATTCCCCGCTTTGTTGTTAGTAACGAATCACAGACAATACTTTATGTTCTCTGATGCAATTTTCATGGGACGTTGTGCATTTTCCTTTTGTATGATCTACGTGAGGACAAACAATCTGATTTAACTACCTGTTTTACTTCTCCAGCATCCAACAGTACTTTGTACACAGTAGGTACTAAATGATTGTGCAGTTAATTAGAATGAATGAAAGATGGAAAATTTACAACCCTCTTCCCATTTTCTGCTTTTCAGATTTGGAAAGAACCAGTAAAACTGAGATTTTAGGTTATAAATTTCTTTCTCACTTAAATTTCCAAAGAATCAACAAAGTCCTGGGCACAGGGATATGGTATGGGAGGGAATTTTTAAGAGGCCTGTTTAGTACATTTCTCCCTTCTCATCCCCTGGCCCGCCCCCGCCCCCCCCCCCATTAAGCAGTGGATTCTAACACAGTATCTGCTTAATAAACATTGGTTAATTTGCATTGAATTGGCTGTTCTGAATTGTCTTCTCTCTAGGAGTACCCTCCATATGTTCAGATCTTCAGTTTCCTAGCTCCTCACTGTCATACTGAGTTGGTGAGTATTCAGCCTTCCTCAGCCTAGTTCTCTGGGTGTCTCAGCCATCAGTGGGGACCTGCTTCTGCCTCCTCTGCAGCTCTTCCAACCTGTTTTTCTGGTACTGGCTCATGCAGTCCCTGAAGGCCTTAACTTGGTCCTGGCACTTCCGCCAGTCTTGGTGCTCAGCCATACACTCCTGCACAGCATGGTGACAGGCCATGCAACCTGTGCGTGAGATCATCTGATCCACGGGGTCCTCACTCTCTTCATCTGCAGCTGGCTGAGAACGTGTCCAGTTGTGACCTGGAGGGGCAGCAGATGACATCTCGCTGAGTGAGCCTTGAATAAGGTAGAAAGGTGTGGCTGTAGACTGTTCAAGCTGAAAAGGACCTTGGGATCAGGACACAGAATGTTAGAGATGGGTGAGTTGTGAGGCTCATACAGAGAAAGAGACCCAAGATCACTGAGTGAATCAGCGGCTGAGCCAGGTCTCTGACTTCCAACCCAGAGCTTTTCCTATTATGCTGATCCCTGGTACTATCTGTACTATTCCTATAGGTACTTTATTATCTAATGTAACTTGATTGTTTCACTTATTGTCTAGAGTGGAAGCATCCTCCAAGTGGAAATAACAATAATTCATATTCATAAAGCACTTCAAATTTGCAAAGGCCCATATGTTATCCCAAAACAGTGACATGAGATGGGTAGGGAATGGATTCTTATCCCCATTTTGCAGGGAAGGAAACTCAAGGTTTGGAGAAGTAACTTGGGGTGCAGCTAGGTGGCACAGTGGCTACAGCACTGGCCTTGAAGTCAGGAGGACCTGAGCTCAAATGTGACCTCAGACCAAACACTTGACACTTACTAGCTGTGTGATCCTGGGCAAGTCACTAAACCCCAACTGCCCTAAAAAAAAAAAAGTAACTTGTTCAAAGTTGCAAATATATTAATTGATAGAGCCAAGTCAAGAACCCAGATTTCCTGAATTCAAAACTGTCCTCATCCCACAGAGCTTCTCAGCCTTGGACTGGAACTCAGGAGACCTAGGATTGAGTCCCAGTTCCTCCTTCTGCATCTGTACTGACTGATCTGCAGACTTCAATACTTCTCCTAGATCCTGGGAACTGGGTTTGATTACTTGATTTCAATATGATTGACTTCCTTTGTAATTCCATTTTATTTTATACATTAAAAACCTAGGGGCACACAGGCTGCAATAGACTGTCCATGACCCTGGTTGGGATCCTCTTCTCTCATGGCTTTTAGGATAGTTCTCTCTTCTTGGTGCTATCTCTCTAATCACTCTTCAGTCCCTTCCCCTGAAGAGATATTTTATGGTCCTACTCTTGCCCCCTAAGTGTGGGTATCTACTAAGGCTCCATCCTTGGCCCTTTTCTTCCCCTTGGTGATTCCTGCTCCTATACGTTCAATTATTTTTTTCTATGCATATAATTCTCAAATTGATACATCCGGCCCTAATCTGTCCCTTCAACTACAACTCCTCTGTATTTTTAGGTACCTGCTGGGTATTCATTAGATGTCCCACCAATATGTCAAACAACACATCCAAGATAGAACTCATTATTTTCCTTCCTAAACCTGCCTATCCTCCCAGTTTCTACCTGTTGATACCACACTATTTTCCCAGTAAGGTTCCAATGTGCGGTGTTATCTTGGAGTTTCTTCTCCCTCACCTCCAATCAACTGCTAACTCCTGTGGCACATCACTTTTGCATTTGTCCACCTCTGTCTGCTCTCCTGGTTTTGGCTCTCATCATCTTTTCTGTAATAATAATAATAATAACTAATTTTATTCAGTAGTCATCTGTTTAAAAAAAAGTAACGTCCCTGGCAGAAACAGAAGCCTACTTAAAGGTCGTCCTCAGACAAAGGGAACAGAACGAGGAGCAACATGTGGAATGTAAGGGGAGGCAGCTTTCCTCTCTCAAGTCCTAAAATCAGAGCCACCCTGCAGTGGAACAGGCTGCCCTGGATTCCCAGGCAATAATAATTTGCTAAATGGTCTCCTGGCTTCTAGTCTCTCTCTGTTTTTCTTCCTAATTCATCTTTCATGTACTGCCAAAAGGAACTTCCTGAGATACAGGTCTGGTCATATTAACGTGCTGTTCAAAATTACTTTCATGACTCCTTATTTCCTCAAGGAGAAAATACAAACTCCTTTGCCTGGTACTTAAGACCCTCCACGATCTGGCTCCAATTTACCTTTCCAACATTACTGGATGTTCCTCCCCTTTATACTCTATGTTCTGGTCAAATTAAACCAATAGCTGTTTTGCCCTTCTTGTAGGGCAAAGCCTAGCACAATGGCAGGCACACAGTAAACCTTTAATTAATACTTGTTGCTAGATTGATCTCAAATCTGCCTTCTCCTGCCCCGGTACTTGAATAGTGTTCTATGCGTGGAACATGGTCTCTTCAACTCTTGCCATTATGAGGTAGCTAGGTGGCACAGTAGAGAGAGTGGCAGGCCTGAAGTCAAGAAGACTGGAGCTCAATTCTGACCTGACAAACTTAATAGTTACTTAACTTCTGTCTGCCTCAGTTTCCTCCACTGTAAAATGGGGCTAATAATAGCAATCACCTCCCAGGGATGTTGTGAAGCTCATGAGATAATATTATAAAATGCTTAGCATGGCACCTGGCATATAGTAGACACATAATAAATGCTTGCTCCCTTCTCTTTCTTTCCCCATTCAGAATCTTTCCCTGCCTACAAAGCTCAGCTTTAGGTGCCATTTCTTCCATATAGTCTTCTTCAATCCTAAAACTCCCTTTTCAATTTTTCCTGGGACTTGTCTAGATATCACATGGTACTGTATGAGTTGTCATTCTCCTCTACCATGCCCCAAGATTATTCATTCCTTGAGAGACTGGACTGTCATTTTTCATTTTTGTGCCCCCCACCACCTAGCACTATTTCCTTTACCCACAGAAAGTGCTTAATAAATATTTTTACTGAGTTGAGTGACCTCAGGCAAGTGCCTTCCCTGGACCTGTCTCCCCTTCAGCAAACTGAGGTGACTGGCCTAGATGGGTTCATCTAGCTCTCATGTTCTAGCTCCATTAGGCGTCCAGTGCAACCTATTTCCTAAGGCAAATGTTCCCCCCACAGTCTCACTCATAGGCAGTCATTCACTTTCTGCTGGAACACTTCCATTGCCTGGGAATCCAGGGCAGCCTGTTCCACTGCAGGGTGGCTCTGATTTTAGGACTTGAGAGAGGAAAGCTGCCTCCCCTTACATTCCACATGTTGCTCCTCGTTCTGTTCCCTTTGTCTGAGGACGACCTTTAAGTAGGCTTCTGTTTCTGCCAGGGACGTTACTTTTTTTTAAACAGATGACTACTGAATAAAATTAGTTATTATTATTATTATTACAGAAAATATGGGCACTTTACAAATACTATTATATTTGATTCTCAAAACAACCCTGGGAAGTAGGTGCCATTCATATCCCCATTTTACAGATGAGGATACTGGGGCAAACAGAAGGTGAAATGACTCGCCCAGGGTCACCCAAACAGTAGGCTGGATTTGAGCTTTTGGGGGTCTTCCTGACTCCAGGCCGAGCTCTACCCATCCACCGCACCACCTTGCTGCCTCCTAACTCGAAGGGGTGGCAGGAAGAGCCCTGGGCTGGAAGCCGGGAACCCTGGGTTCTAGTTACTGCTCAGAGCCTTAGACCCTTGAACAAGTGACTCACCCTCTGTTTTTACCCGTCTCCTGTATAAATCGAGGTTCGGCAAGCATTTATCAAGCGCTTGCTTTGTGCCAAGGACACTGTGCTATGAGCCGGGAATACAAATGCAACCCTCCCCCTCTCTAGGCCAGAGTTTCCAACCGGGAAAATGGGGAGGAGGGCCTTCTCTGGGCCTCAGGGTCTCATTGGGACAATGGGGAGAGAAAATGGTGTCGATGACCTAAGGGGTGACAAAGCACCTGCTGGGGGGGAGGGGGATGATCACGGGAGGTTTCCTGGACGAGGTGGGCTTGGAAGGGTAGAGGGCCCCAAGGAAGATCAGCTATGCTCCGCACACCGCCCCCCTCTTCCCTCCCACGCGGGGTTCCACAGAACGTCTCCCGCACTCTCCCCGCTCCCCCCGGTCCGGGCAACGCGGCCCACAGGCGCTCACCCACGAAGCGAGAACGGACGAGAAGAGCGGGCTCGCTCCCGCGTCTACGTCCCCCGTGCGCATTCCCGCGCCTTGCCCTTACTCACCGCCTTCCTAGTCCCGATTCTAAGTGCCCGCGAGCCCGCGGAACTCGCGCCTGAGCTGCTCTACCATTGGCTGATTTCCAGCCTTTGCCCCGCCCCTCTCCACCATCTCCCACCCCTTTCCCTTCCTCCTTTTCTCCTTTTCTCCTTTTCTCCCTTCCTCCTTCCTTCCTTCCTTCCCTCATCCTCTTCTTTTCCCTCCTCCTCTTCCTTTTCCCTTCCTCCCTTCCCCCCTTCTTCCGGCCGGCTCATCCACCCAGATCTCCCTCTGAATTTCCGCATCCGGCTCATCGAGGCTTCACTTCCGTCGAAGAAGGTAAGGAAAGGGAAAGGGGCGGGGACAAGATGGCGGCGCCTATGAGGATTCAGAGCGACTGGGCCAAAGCTCTCAGGTGATTTCCCCTCCCGGGCAGGCTCCGCCTTTGCCGAGGGACAGGCCCTACCCTGATTTGTCCAGAAGACTGGGAGTAGAGGTCGGGCTGGACCTGGAGGGGATAGGGTGGGGTTGTGAGTGTGGTAGCCCACGCTTGCGATTCTCTTCCATCCCACCGGCTTTTACTCAGCGCCCACGCCGGCCGTGGGCTGGGCAGTCACTCGGGCCTAACCTCACAAGACCAGGCCAGGCCTGTGTAGTTAGAGCAGAGGCGAGGCCCAGGAACCAGCTGGGGTTTATTGAGACCAGGTGATGCCAGGCTAAGCTCAAGTTGGTTCTTGACAGGTTTACTATAATAGGTAGATTAGGGGAAAGTTGTAGACACAGTATTCTTGAATTTCAACGAAGTATTTGACAGGGTTGTGTTGAGAGGCAGTGGTGGTTCAGTGCCTTTGGAGTCAGAACCAAGATTTTAATTATGGCCCTGCAGCTCGTTACTGTTATTAAGGACAGATGAGGATTTAATTTTTATTAATATCGTTTATATTACCTTTAGTTTCTAAATATGCACACACACACCACCCCCTTTTCTCCCTACTGAGCCATCCCTTGTAACAAAGATTAAAAAAGAAAGGGGAAAAAAGTTCGACAGAACTCATCAATCAAGTTTGAATGGGTGTAACAATTCTCTGCGCTTTATTAGTTGTAAGACCCTAAACCCTTTTATCTCCCTGAATTGCAATTTACATTTCCATCAAATGGTGACTTACTTGTACTCTTTCTAATAGAGTTGTGAAGAAAGTGTTTGTGTAAACCATTTTGTGAATTCATTCACAAAGCACAATAAAATTTTGATTGATTCAGTTGATTAAACAGTCAGCACATCTATTTTATGCCAGGTGCTGAGGATACAAAGACAAAACTGTAGCCCCTCTTTCACTCAAGGAACTTCACATTCTGTTCAGTAAAGACAACAGTTCATTTGAAAAAGACTTAGGAATTTTGGTTTATAAATTCAATGTGATTTAGTAATGGCAGCCAAAAATGCTAAGACAATCTTAGACCTTGTAAATAAGAAGCACCATGTCTAGTTTGAAGGAGGGAGGTGAGAGTCTTGCTGTCCTGTGCCCAGGTCATTATGCCCAAGTATTGTGTTTAGTTCTGGGTACCAAAGTGTAGGAGCAACTTTGATAAGCTGTGTATCATGCAAAGAGGAGGGTGATCAGGATGGCCAGAGACTTGGAGACCATGCCATTCAAGGACTGGTTGAAAGAACCTGGCAGTCAACCAGTATTTATTAACTGTCAGTTACATGCTAAGTGCTAGGCTATACAAAGACAACCCTGAGACAGATGGCCTGCATGTGTGTATATACACAGGGATGGAGAACTCTGAAATCTAGAACTAGAACTCTGAAATCGTTGGCATGAGGAACTCCTGATGAGGAGACTCCAGTGCAGATCAGCACTTTCTCTGCCATTTACAGTTTTAAAGAACCATCCAGAGCACTGAGACGTTAAGTGACTCTCCCTGGGTCACAAAGGCAGCATGGGCCAGAGGTGAGGTGAGCCTTGAATCCAGGCCTTCCTGGCTCTGAGACTGGCTTTTTAGCCACTACACCAGAGGTGTCAAACATGTGCAACATTCCCTAGTGTGGCTGGAACCAGATTAAAATGTAATAGGGAAATATTTAACAAAATAAATAAAAATACAATAAAATAGAGATAACATTAATGTATGAGTTTCTAAGTTGTTATGTAGCCTGAAGAGATCCTTATATGGTTAAATAGTCGTGTTTCTGTTTGAGTTTCACACCCCTGCCCCACATAACAGCCACATCTCTTCACAGGTGTAGGTATATGCAAACATATATAAAGTAACCTTTGAGAACAGTGCCTAGCAGCTGCAGGGGCCAAGAAGGGCCTAATCAGAGATGGTGCCTCTTTTTGTGACCCCAGCACTTACCACAGTGTCTGGCACGTAGTGGGCATTACATAAATGTTGATTGATAGGCATGGGGGACAGCCAGTGCTAAGGCAAAGATGTAGAATATGGAGTATCCTGTGTGAGGAACAGAAAGAAAGTCAGTTTGGCTGGACTGTTGAATGTGGAAGGGCTGGAAATGTAGGCCAGAAATAAGAAATTTATTGGTTAGGATAATGGCATGTGCAGACCACTCCTTTAGGAAAATCACCGTGTGGAGGCTGGATGGGAGTAGAGAGAAACTTAAGGCTGAGAGAGCAATTAGCAGACAGTTGCAGTAGTTCAAGTGAGATGATGAGGGCCTGACCAAGGTTGTTGGGTATATGAGTGGAGAGATGGAGGTAGACGAAAGACATTGTGGAGGTAGAATCTGTAGGACTTGACAAACTGCTTGGATTGTGTGGGGTAGGGGAGAATGGAGTCAGGGATAATGCTAAACTTTTGAATCTCTCTGTTTAGCTTAGATAAGAATTAGTTAAGGATTGTCTTCTTCAGGTATTTAAAGGGTCTTAAATCCTTAAACAGGTCTGGGATTTGTTTTGTTTAGTTTTGAAGTCCAGTAGATATTTTTCAGCTGTGTGAATAGGGTTTTTCTTTTTTCCAGAATTATCCAGGTAATAAAACAGTTGCCTTCTGAGAAAGTGAACTCATCCTCAAGAAGTTAGGTGACTCTCTGTAGTGCTGTACAGGGGATTCAGTTTGATTATACTCCCTGCTAGGCTGTGTGGGCTATACAAAGATGAAATAAGGTATTATCTTTACTGTCAGGATGCTTATTGTGTAGTAACTGGAGATAAGATTTACTCAAATAACGAATATAAATTAGAGTGTGATGGTATATGACAGGTGTCATTTACTCTTGAGATATCTGCGGATAGGACATAATCACTTCTTCCTGGGAGGAAATCAGGGAATGCTTTCTTTGAGATTCTGTGATTCTTCCACCTTTCCCCCTGATATAGCCCCCCCTTAATACTAAGCTAATTAGGCTACCACGTCTCTTCACAGGAGGAATGAAGGAGAAGCCTGGCTGAGTTGTCACCCCCCAGGTAATGTCTGTGAATCTTCTCAGCACCACCTTTCCCTCAAATAGCGGGATCCTCTAATCCTCAAATGTTAAGTTGTTAAGTTAAATGTTAAGTCCTCACTTAACTCCCCTCAGAATCCCTAGTGGACTTCTCCTTGTTGTTGTTATTGGATTCCTCAGAGGCTCCCCAACTTTCCTGCGCTACCCGTGTTATGTTGATGGTATCCATCTGGACATCTTGGGACATCCCAAGACTGTCTTGCCTTTTCAAAGCCAGTAGCTGATTCAAGGAGATATTACTGGTACTTTTTAATCAGCCCATAAGCTTTATTTTTCTTTTTAAAAACTGTTTTGTTAGGGGCAGCTATGTGGCACAGTGGGTAGAGCACCGGCCCTGAGTTCAAATCTGGCCTCAGACCAAACACTTGACACTTATAGCTGTGTGACCCTGGGCAAGTCACTTAACCCCAATTGCCTAAAAAACAAACACACAAAAATTGTTTTGTTGATGCTTTTTTTTTTACATCACTTACATCCTAGTAACCTCTCTACCCACCAAAGTAGAATCTTTCTTTGTAACAAAGTGAAATAGTTAAGCAAAAACAAACCGTTATCACAGTGATATCTGATAATGTGTGCTTTATTTTTGTATCCCTTGGCCCTTTCCTTTCTATCGACAAAAAAAGCTCATATGTTTTACATAGTCCTATGACTTCAACTATAACCTTTTTAGCGTGATCTCCAAATCTGCACTTCTAGTTCTCACCATTCTCTGCAGCTCCAGTGTCAAATTGCCAACAGCCTTTTGGATAGTTCCATTTGAATGTCTTGAGGTCATTGTCTTGAGCTCATCATATCTAAAATTTAGCTCATCATATTGCTATCTTTCCTGGTTTTCTATTTCCATTAATAGTATCACCATTCTTCTAGAGTTTCTGGGGCTTGAAAAATGATTTCTCCAAAGTCACACCTAAATGTCTGAGCTGACAATTAAACCTGTATCTTCCCATTACACACCTAGTGCTATTTCCACTAAATCATGCTGCCTTTTAATAAATGTTGTTGAATGAACTCTTACATCTGTCCTCATCTTTCCATGACAGAGTCTTTGACCTCCTATTCCTGTGCCGTTGAACTCCACATCCTGCCTATCTTGCAGGACAAATCCTTCTCCGCCTTTCCAGATGTCAAGATTGGACTTTCAGGGTTGAACATGCTCAGTCTTAATCTTTTGAGAAACCTTTTATTTATTTTGTGTTGTAGGGAAACCAACTTTATATGGGAGATTAATTTGCCAGGGAGTTGACTCCAGTGGAATCCCAGAGATCACAGCTTCAGAAGGATTTGTTGTGAATGAAATTACTAAGGTAGGCTTTTGTTCTATCTAATACATATGATGTCTTTGACTTCATTTAATTATGTCTATACTGCTGTTTTTCAGGTTATTGCATTTGTTATATCTGTACCATAACCAGGTAGTTTCACAAGTTATGCTTCATTTATTTGAATAATGTTATTGGTTTTTTTTTCCTCCTGTGGTCATGTGTCCCTTTAGATTTTGTTAGAATAATCAGATCTCATTTAGAATCAGTA